TAAATGTACGCCGTGAACAAGTACAACCTATTAAAAAGAGTCGTCTCTATATATGTTGTGCTTGAATAATTTCTCTAATTAATTTTTGTTTTATAGTACTTCTCTGATTTGTACTATATCCATTTAATATATTCTAAATACACAAGGTATAACATATTTCACATTTTCTTATCAATAAACCATTGATTACATATATAATTAATATCCACATAATATGTAAATATGTATTGTATGTATATTCAAATACATAATATTCTTTAAAGAAGTTTAAATATACGATAAAATAAATTGTAACTACACTTTTTAATAATTTATTTTGTAAAAAAATATCCGTGCATCGCGCAGGTACTCATTTAGTTAGATTATAAACACCATTCTTTAATAGTCACATATATATACAAAAATATTTAATCTCATATGTAATAGTTATTAAAACGTTATATATGTGACTAAGACACGTGACTATTAGAAGTAACGGTTGCTGACATAAGAAACAAAAAGAAGTAACGGTTACCGTCTAAGAAAAGTTGTTACAGGAATAAGGGTTTTGATCTTTGTCCATCGAAAGATCATTAAGGCAAAGAGGAGAAAGGAAGGAGAAAATCAACTTGAAGACTTGAAGCCACAAAGGCCAATTAAGCATGGATCAAGGTTAGTCTTTCTTCTTCTCTAAGAAACTGCCTAGGGTTGGATTAAATCAAATCTAGTTCATTAAGGATAGATTTCAATAATAGTAAATTCTACGAAATCCACATGACTCGCTAAAGATGCTGATCGACTCTTAACACTTTTACCATTTAAGTTTGCGCATATTGTAAATGAAAAACAAAACACCGGATTGATGGCATGAATTGAGCAATCAAAGTTTCCTTAAAAAGAAAGAATGTTCGATTTCATGGGATTCACATACGTTAAAGAGATCCCAACATGCTTGAAAAATTATGCAAACCATTGTAAGGATAGAAGAAGAAGAAAAGTTAACTTCGAGAGTCGTGTATATGATGACAGCGAACTCTTGAAACAATGTAAGGAATTGAAACAATGTTTTGAAATTTGTGTAGGTTTCTTCGATCATATAATATTCTCGTCGCAACAAATCTCAACAGAACAATTAAAAAAAAGAAAGAAGAAAACAAATCTCAACGGCTCAAGTTGTGCTCTTAGGCTATACTGTAATCAGTAATCCTAAACATCAAGGAGTTAACAGTTTCTACTGAAAGTGCTCCTGTTTGATCTGAATTAATTTTTATTCTGAAGAGGGATATATAAGAAGATGAAGAAATATAAAAAAATGTTCAGAATTTAGTGGTGCTGTTTTGAAAAATGCTGACTTCGATTCCCATGATTTGGTATTTAAGATGTTTACGTTTTCGAAAAGGCTTATATTAACTAAAATGTATTACTTTTTTCTAATTTTTGTTTTGCTGATGTGTCATAGAGAGAAATGTTTAGGTGTGAATTCCTTATGAGACATACTCAATTTTTATATAATAAATTAGATTTATAACTTGTGTTACTCGGGAGTTTGTATTAATAATTTTGTTTATTTTTTTTAATCTATCTTCTAAATTATTAAAACTATAATAGATTTATAAAAATAAATCTTTTATATAAGAGAAGTTAGAATATAATATGTAGTTTTCTCCTATTATTATTTATAAAATTGAAATTTTACTAATCTATATTATAAGTTTTAGCATTTACTTTATTGGTTTTTTGTTAGTTTAACTCTTTGACATTAAATTTCCATTTTATTTTGAAAGATATTATATATATTTTTTAACATTATTTTCTTTTCTATTTGTTACTTGAATTTTTTTATTTTGATTTTTCTATCTATAAAAAGAAATTAATTTTTACAAAATTAAAAATTAATATTTTAATTATATTTAAAATTTTGTGTTTAACAAAAAATATTGATGTGGACAAATCAGATTGAGTTTTTTCATCATATGTGCACGCTTCCAGTGGCCCAAAGCTTCAAATTTTATATAGTACTAGATCTTTCATACCTGCTACGCACGGATATGCTATTATAGATTGTTTTAATATTTATTATTATTTGTAATCATTTCTGAAACACTAAAAAAAATTTAAATTTTATTTATTCAAAAGTTATTTATGATATTATTGTTTTTGTAATTGCAAATAATATTAGTTTCTCAATCATAGAAATTGCCTTTGAATTTTTAATCATATTAGAAAATAAAGATTGTTTGATGAAAGTATATATAGAAATCATGATGTGTAATTTATTTCGTTTTTTGTAATTTTTAATAAGATATTTTGTTTTGCTATTTTAAATTAAATATATAAGAGAACTTAATTATTTTTATCTCTTTTTAATTAAGTATTTACTAATAGATTAGTATGTGTATTGAATAGTCTACAAAAATGTTGCATTTCTGCATTTAGGTTTGTCCACTGTGCTTACATATTTGATATGTTCTGATTTTGTTTATAAATTTAGTTTAATTAAAAAATATGAAACATGATATCAAAACTAATTGTAGTAAAATAAATAAAACAGCGGCAAGCAACAAATACATTAAATTAAAAGTTTGCTAATATTGAAATCTCAGAAGCAAAAAAGGTTCGAGAACAAACAACCAGCTATAAATTTTAGAGTAATCATGTGAAAAAATTAATAATTTTTTTTTTGATGTAGTATCAAAGTTATTCATAGCAGGTACGTTTATCTTTATGTTTGATGTCAATTGTGTCATCGTCTTTGCACTCTTCATCACCGTCTTTGCACTCTGCATCACCATGAGCAACTTCAGGCATATTTTTTTCTTCTTGGAGAGTTTAGTCATCATCAGTGATTTCCTAGAGAATTCTTGTTACAGTCATAGTCTAGCGGGTAGAAATGAAGTTAAAGAGCTTAAGTTTTAACTGAAATTTGAAAGTACAGCCAACAACATCCTACAAACATCGTGGTGCTAAACTATGATGAACCATTCTCATTGCCCTATTAAGAAGTCAATAATACAAGAAGTATTAATGATGAAAATTAAGTCTTTCCTAAATTTATTTTGGTTAACAGAGGCTATATACCTCTTCCAGAATATCTGCAGCGTTTCTACCAGTTATTTTAATAGCATCTTCGCCAAAGATCACGAAAGTAGTGACATTTGTTTTGTTAAAAACAGTTAGTTTTACTCGATATCTGCTTGTTAGACAATTTTATTATATATATTAGATGTTAGTCATATTTCTTTGGATATTTTATGGTTTTGGTAAATAAATAGGCATGAGAAAAGTATTGTTTACCTGATTAGATCAACAGTATTTTTGTGGTTTCATGTCTTGCAAACCAAGGTTGTCCTTTTCGTCCTAGTTTATATTTATATTTAGCGCATGCAATGTAGTTCCATCCATATTGTGGCAGTATGTCAACGACGGTAGCAGTACAACAAAAACCGGCTATTTGCAACTCTAATAATATAATTGTAAGAAACCCTCTTATTGAAAATTGAGTAAGAGATATAAATAATAACCTGTTGTGTCTCGTTTTTTAAAAATTGATAAAGTTCAGAGATGATGACAGTTTCTAACTTTGTAACCTCTGAAGTGATGATAGAGTTATTTCCAGATTCACCTAGCCTTAAAAAAGAAAACATATACATGTATTTTAGCAGCTACAATTAAAATTAACATAACTAAAATATAAATCAGATTTTTCTATACTTTCAGTTAATTTTTCCTGAATTTTGTGGCAACATTACTTCAAAGAGTAACACGAACAATTGGTCCGCTGATTTAAGAAAGCATAAAAGATTGTTACTGAATGAAGTTTGTATTTGAAATTATAAGATGTGTGAGTCTAGAGAAAAACTTACTCTTTCAGTTGTAGGTAGACTTCTATTTTTTTTAGCCACACTGTTGAAGTTCTTCTCATTGTCGATAAGGAACAATTTTTCAAGTGACATCTAAACAATTTTACCATATAGGTTTTAACATGATACTAGGGACGTTACCGCGTTACACGCAGATTGTTTTCAGAAATATTAATTATTATTTTAGTAAAAATTATAAATTAATATTTTCAATATAATATTTATTTTCAAGATCATTTTGATGTGGTCATATATCTAAAATATTTTAACGTATTCAAAAAATATATTAGGATTTAATTTAAAAATTAACTAATTTGATATATGTGAATAATCGTTAATCTAAAATTTTATATTTATATATAAACTCATTACTGCTCACCCAACTTCCAAATTATGATTAAAATTATTTTTGTTGTAACTAAATTTGATATATAATTGAACTCAACAACTATAAGTTTCCTCTTTATTTAATTTAAAACAATTTTTTCATTTTAAAAAAATTACTTATCAAACATATGACTACAATTGAAACACCTATATTTAGTTCCAATTAATTTAGATATCTTTTCATTTCAATTGTGTTCGTGTAATGGATTTTTTAATGAGCAGTCTTAAATATAAAACAACATTTAATGTTCAAAACTCTTACAAATCCGTAAAAGAACTATTGTTCATATAAATGAAAATAACATTTACATAATATATAAAATCATAATCGTATTGATATATTGTATTTTTTATTTGTTCTCTGAAGTATCTGTAAACTATAGGACTGTACATGAATGGGAAAACGGCCATTTCATGCCCAAAATTAAGAGATATGTTCGATTTATACATGTAGTTTTACCTCTTCCATGAATCATACACAAAGTACTTATTCGTTTGAATTTCATACATAACTTTTTAGTTTTTGGGAAAATCATACAATTGCCGTCACTGTTTACGGTGACCATTAAGTCTGTGATGACGTGGATGCCACGTATTATACGACGTCGTTTCCGTTCTTTCTTTGATCAACAAAGAACACTCTCGCGACGTCTGTTTCTCATCTCTTGTTTCAAACATTTCTCTTTTCCCTCTCTCCAGTCTCTCGACATTTGTCTTGCTAAGCTTTGCTCAAATCATTCTAGAGTCTTGGTAGTGTCCAAAACGACAAGGAAGATGAGGTAATGTTCCCAATTTCTATCGATTTTCTCACAAATGGATTTCAGTGTTTCAATTTTTCTGATTTTGCATACATAAGGGTTTGCATGTTGTTGATTGGAGATGAATTGGTTGTGCGTTGTCATATAATTGCATTACACTTATGTAATTACATTCAATTTTGGTATTTTGCAATCGTTTTGTTAAAAAAAGGTACAATTTTATGAACACCAAGTGATCAATAAAATGACTAACAGAATTTTTCTGAATTTTCCAGTGACAATGTAGATGTCGATTTCGCAATATACCACAGTGGTAAATTCTTAATTTTGGATGGAATCACTTTTTCATATGATGGAGGAGAGGTTCATGAGCTTAAAAGCTCTCCAGAAATGGTGCTTAGAAACGTCTCAGATGCATTGGGAATTAATTTGTATGGGCAAAAGATCTGGTACAAGCTTCCGTTTGAGGACTTTACGGAGCTGAAAATGATGTGTAATGGAGATTCAGTGTTTCAGAAAATGGTACAATCAACAATGTGGACAAAAGCTGCAGACATTTTCTTGGAGCAAGATGTTGTTGATGGAGGTTCTGCTAATGGTGATGAAATGCCTGGTAATGGAGATGAAGCGCCTGCTAATGGAGATGAAGCTGGCGATATTGATGGTGAAATGCTTGAGGAAGATGCATAAATGGAGCTTAATGTTGCAGGTTTTGCTGATGAAGAAGAACATTACAATTCCGAGGCAACTCCACAAAATTCAGATGATGAAGATAGTGGCCCACAAAACCATCACCAAAGGTATAAAAAAGGTAGTGGTGAGCTGAGTTTAGGTATGGGATTCGACAGTCTAGCTGAGTTTAAAGAAGCCGTGATTGAGTACAGCTTGAAATATAAAGTTAATTGAGGTTCTCGAGATGAGGATCTATAAAATCAGAGGTGAAGTGTGCAGTTGTTGCTGAAGGTGATGGTGATAAGAATGTGGTTGATGTTGATGAGATCGGAGCTGCTGCTGATGCGAATGGAGCTGTTGATGATGCCAATGGAGCTGCTGATGATGCGAGTGAAGCTCCTGCTGATATTGGTGGAGATGCTGAAAAGGAGGATGCCGACTTAGAGAATGGTTGTGGATTTAGAATCTATTGCTCATTTGAGAGATCTGCTGGAATCTACTTGATTAAGACATTCAACGATGAGCATTCATGTATCTCGGATGGCTACAACAAGGTTCTTAAGGGAATGGTCATTGCCAAGATGTTATTGAATGACATTAGAAGAAATCCTACTATGAAGCCGAAGGCAATGCAAGCAGCAATTGAGGAGAAATACAACTAGATCGTGACGAATGACCAATGTAGAAAAGCTAAGTTAACAGCTTTGTCGATGATACAAGATGAACATAATGAGCAGTTTTCAAGGCTAAAGGACTACAAGACAGAGCTTATAAGGCAAGTAAATCTAACTTTATGTCCACTAACGCTTCAGTTTAGTAGTTTGATGTTCTGAATTTTTTTTTCTGTTTGTTAATTTGCATAGGTGTAATCCAGAATCTACTGTCGAGGTTGGGACAATCACAAATGAAGATGGTTTAGAGACATTTGACAGGGTGTATGTGTGTTTAGCGGCACTAAAGAGAACTTGGGTTGATCATTGTTGTCTCATCTTTGGGATAGATGGTTGCTTCTTGAAGAATAATGTCCAAGGACAACTATTGGCAGTTGTAAGACGAGATGCGAACAACCAATTCTTCCTTGTGGCTTGGGCTGTCATGCAAGTGGAGGACGGTGACAGTTGCGTATGGTTCATTCGGAAGCTGAAGCACGATTAGGACTCAAAGATGGTGAAGGATTCTCTATTATTTCTGATAGGTAAAAGTAAGATGATAACATGTTTTATACTACTCCTTTAGTCTTGCTTTGTCTTCTCTAATATTAACATGTTTTATTCGACTTGGCAGGGTCTGTTAAATGCACCTGAGCAAGAACTGCCTAGAATTGAACACCGTATGTGTGCACACCACATCTATGGAAACATAAGAAGAGTTTTTTCGGGGAAATAGTTGCTTAAAGAGAAGTTTTGGGCAGTCGCAAAGAGTTACAACATTGGCGACTATGAAAGATCTCTCCAAGCATTGAAAGACTTTGATGTTGGCGTGTATGAAGCTATGATGAAGAAGAATCCGTATAATTGTAGCTGTGCATTCTTCAGCTCAAACTCGGTTTGTGAAGATGTATCGAACAACTTCTCTGAATCTTACAACAACGCAATCAACAAAGCAAGGGAGATGCCACTAGTAGAGATGTTAGAGACGATAAGAAGGCAAGCTATGACCCGTATGGATATAGGAAAGAAGAAGGCTATGCGGTGGAAAACCAAGTATAGTGAAAAAGTTGCCAATACCATCAAGAAGAGAAGACCAAATGCAAGCATAGTCCGGTTGTTCCTAGTGGAAATGGGGTGTACGAGGTAATCGGCAATGGTCAAGGTGTCACAGTTGATATGACATCGAATACTTGTGCTTGTAGAAGATGGATTATGACAGGTATTCCTTTCTGTTATGCTTTGAAAGTGATTACGAATAGGAAGGGCAATCCACTGAATTATATGTCACACTGGTATTTGACATCGAAATGGAGGAAGAAATACACGGATCCAATTCGTCCAGTTAACGGACTTAACTTCTGGAGAAGATCCCTTGAAACCACCATTCAACCACCATCAAGAGATGACCGGCTGCCTACAAAGGAGGAAAAGAAAAAAAAAAAGGAAAGGGTCTCCACAGAAGAAGAAGAAAGGAAAGGGAATAAATGAGCATAAAAAGAAGACAATAAAGCTGGCTGTAAAGGGGAGAATCTCATGTTGTGGACGGTGTGGACTCCCAGGACATAACTCAAGAAGATGTGATCAAACCGGATGTTTCTTTCCCAGACCAAAGAAACAACCATCCGGTCTTAGTGAGAGAGAGGGACCAAGCCAGCAAAGCCAACCATCGCAGAATTCTCATCAACCATCGCAGAGTTCTCATCTTGATTGAAGGTATTATTTTGTGATTTTTATACTTTGATGATGATTTTGTGATTGTTTTTGGGGAATGTGATTGTTTTGGTGATTGTTTTGTGAATTTGATGATGGTTTGATTAGTGTTACAACCTTTGCTTGTTATGATTTTGTGATATTTATACTTGGATGATGAGTTTGTGATTGTTTTGGTGATAGTTTTGTGAATATGATGATGGTTTGATTAGTGTTACAATCTCTGCTTGTTACAATTTTGCAGGATTTGGGAGAAGATTGAGATGAGAAGATTACAAGCTTGAGAGGAGGTTATCGATTTGGCTTTTTTTTATCTGAGGTTGACTTCAGCTATTTCAGATATTGCTTGTTAGACATGGCTTATTTCTATCTTGGATTTGGCATGACAAATAACTTTGGTTGTTAATGCCTCAGATGTAAAATTTTCAATGTTATTGGCTTGTTCATGTAAACTTTTTTTCCCCTATGATTGCAAAATCTCAAATCACAAATACATCTCTTAACTATAATCTCAAATCTCTCTTAACCATACTGCATTAGTCTAAATCGACAATTTCATAATTAATAGTCAATACTACAATACAATAGACAATACTGCAACTCAAACAATAAAGCTTATGATGATATGAAATAGATGAAGAAGACAAATCACAAACCACACACGATCATGTTTTTGCAGCAACTAGCAGCAGATTTAAGTTCTCCTAACTCCTTCTCACAACAATTCACCATTGTCTTAAGCTCTTGAATCTCTTTGTTGCATCTTTCTACATTCTTATTTGCCACAGCCTCACACATCCTTGTCTCCATCGCCAAGTTCTCAACTTCTTCTCGCATCTTCTCAACCTCTCTTTCAACCACTCCCATTTCCTCAACCATTAAAATGTCGACCCATTTGAACAAATGATTGTTATTCTATAGAATATTTAATCAGCAAATCGCAAGGATGAAATTATGCAAATTCTCAGATCAAACAACTAGTTTTAGAGCCTTACCTATTTCGACCCAAACAGACAGCAATAGAAAAGTCTACTCGGATTCTTCTCTGTCTCCAAAGTCCTAATTATAGATGCTTCTCCACATCGACAGCTTCTCGGAATTCCAAATCCTCCGTCACGTCCATGGCATTTTTTCCCGTCGTAGCTCACTCCTTCATAGTTGAAGATAATCATCAATTAACTCTAATCAAACTCTGAAATGAACACAACAACACCGAATTTAAAGAATTGCTCACCTGAAGTAGCTGATGAAAACATCTCATTCAACCTAAAAAACTTCATCACGATTTTTTTGCCCAAATTTGCTCAGTTTAAAGATTGAAGATGATTCGAAATGATGTTGGTTGTTAATAATTGGATAAAACAACATTGTTTTTAGATTCTGTGTTTAACGTTAACAAAAACCGTTTGATCTGATAATCCACGTCATTGTAGAGTTAACGGACCATTAGCCATGTAAGCTTCCGTTAACAGACCATTAGCCACGTCACAAGAATTGTATGATTTTTCCAAAAACTGAAAAGTTATGTATGAAATTCAAAACGAATAAGTAGTTTGTGTATGATTCGTGGAAGAGGTAAACTGCATGTATAAATCGAACATATCTCTGAAGTTTGGGCATGAAATGGCCGTTTTCCCGTACATGAATAAAGCAAGTAATACATATACAAATACATCTTCATACTAACTCATACTATTAAACAAAGTATATCGAGTTTCTCAAAACTCAAAATGTGTAAAAGATTCATTTGCATTTGCTTGTAATTTAACTTAGATATTTTTCTTACACTACATATATATTCTGGTGAATTTTTATAATTAAATTAATAATATATACTATATTTTTAAAAGAGTTTCTTAACCCAAAAATTACATGTTGAGTTCGTAAAAAAATCTTTTTTTTTGTTCATGTACATGGTTAGAGAAGTGTTTATAATATTTTCTGTTATATAAAATTATATATAATATTTTTAAATATGGAAGTGTAATATATTAATGTCTAATATAAACTTATGCAAGTATATTTTTACATATGTATGACTATAATGATGATTCATATTACACTGTAATTAATTTAATTTATGTTTAAAAGTATTTATCCAAAAATATAGGAATAGCATATACATACTCATACATATTTGATATTTTTAATTATTATGTGAACGAAATTAATATCTCATAATATTATATCTTAACGATTTTTAGTTTAAACATGTGATTAATATTAATTTGGGGTGTAAGAATTTAAAATATTATATATATAATATATTTTGATTTTTGTTAAAATCAAGTTATAATATGTTATATGTTTTGTTACCATAGTACATCCAATTTAATCAATATTCAAATATTACTATTATTGTTAATTAAACACTATTTAATTTTAAGCATGTTACTAATATATTAAAAATTATGTTTATTAAAGATTTGCTGATGTGGCATGATTATAGAGATTTGGTTTTTGCTGATGTGGATGGTTTTAGGAGTCTCAAACTCCTCCTTTCATTTAGTATAGATTATAATAGATACAAGTACATGGAGAGAAGAAATAATTTTACCGTATAGGTTTTTGTTCTTGTTTAAATTCGTCATAAGAACAGATCTTAAATAATTGTCTCTCGATAATATGCTCATGCTGGTTGGATTCAGTTAGTGGTATAAATGCTTGGATGATGTTTCCCTGAAATTGATTAAAATATAATTTAATAGTGCAAGTTAAATTTTAGATAGTTTGTAAGCAAATAATTTTAAAGATACATGTTGATCGATGAAAAGAAGTTCAAAATCTATAAGCATACCTCCTTTATGGGAGTTTTGTGCCTCTTAATAATAGATAACCTTAACATTTTGAAGCTCATAGAAAGACAAAGAGATTTGGTGGAAGAAGAAGCATCTGAAACAGCCATTGTTTTATGAAATTATCTCTATCTCTTTAAGGATTTGTTTAATTTAGCAAGTTATATGAACTACTAAATGTCTTCCATGTGCTTATTTATAAGCAATACTAATATCATAATTAATAAAATTTCTTTTCTGTTAATAGGATATTTAGCGGTTTGTTTTTTTCCATTTTTATTAGTTTAGTTTTTTTCCATACTGTTTTACCTTTTTAGTTTTACAAATAGAAAAAGTTAAATCGACAAAAAAAAACATTAAGTAATTCCTCTGTTGGTATGGAATTTACTTTAATTTTTTTTTAGAAGAAACTATTCCTTGTTCCAGATTTATTTAGTATAAAGATATCAAGTTCTTTTTCTTTTTTATATTTATTTAATATGTTGCTTTTTTACTTTTTATTATTTTATATAACAAGGTATATAACTCGTACTACGCGCTAGTCTGTATTAATTGTTTGGTTTAATTTTTTGTAGCTACTATCTTTAAAATTATTAAAACTATAATATATTTATAGAAATTTTAATTTATGTATGAGAATTTAATATATAATGTGTAATTTTCTCTTATTTTTCTTTATAAATTTTAAAAACTATTAGGTAAAATAATAACAATGACAACTATCGAATTATCCAGCTTTGACGTACATAGACATTTGATTTAGAGAAATATTTTATTGCTAAGATTTTAATATTATTTTCTGTTTTCCATAGAATTTCTATAGTTCTTTCTTTCTTAAAGGTTTATGTGTTCAAATTTTTTTTTTTATTGAAAGTCTTATTGATGTTGTGTACAACTGCATATGTAATTCATAATTCATGTTGATTCGGCTTTAATTTTGTTAGGAAGCTGCAATGATCATGCAAAACTATTTTTTTCCTTTTCCACTATGTCTTCCAAGAGTTTTATGTTATATTTTTATTTAGTTTTCATTGATATGTTTTTACAGTCTAATATTTGATAATTTTAGTTTTCTAACTTGTAGGATCGGTGGTGTCGAGCATTTGCATTATTTTTCACTGTTTTTATCTTTTGTGTGCAATATGCATGCTTTGATTTGAATATTTCATCTACATATAGCAATTTGAGTTTGATTCATCACTATGGCATACTTTATTATTTATATAGAATTTTTGAATGTGTTATTGATGTTGATTCAGAAATAAGTAGTGGCTATGTAAAGAAATCATATTTTAATACTTGTTAAATATCGAGTGTAAAGTTATTATAATGTTTTTAAATCAGAAACATCAAATGTATTAATCATTCTATATTTAAAAATATGTTTAGTTTAGAAACTCATGTAAACCTATTGCAACTTTAGATAGTTATTCTTTGTTGATACTAATACTTTAAAAATCAGGAATTTTTTAAAACTAATTTCAAATTAATGTTATTTTATTTTTTTATCGTTGATAATTTACATCTTTTGTAGTAATTTTTATTTATTTTAATTTATATAATTTTTTGTACGTTTGATATAATTAAGACTTATATTCTTTTTATTAAGCTGTTTTGTTGTTGATTCTCCAAATAGATATCATAGACATCACATTAATTTTTTTTATACAAATACTTTTTCTTTGTTAAATTTTTTTTTTATTAATTTTAATTCTAGTTATAATGCTGATTTGATATGCTCTAACTGTTGAATTTAGATTTAGATGGACTTTTCTAAAAGCTATTATAGTTTTGATAATTTAAAAGATAGTAGCAAAAAAATAATTAAACAAAACTAATAATACAGACTCTCGCGTAGCACGAGTTATAAACCTAGTTATACTATCCAGAAGAGAATCTACAAAAAAACATTGGTATGTTCATATATTCTCATGTTCAATGATTATATGGGGCCTCATACTCTTAATGTTTTCCCCTAAAAGGTATAAAACTAATATCAAAATTGATCTACGATACAGAAAGTCGAAATTCAATAGCCTCAGCATCACAGCCTCTATGAAGAAAAAGAAGAAGTAAGCAAAATAAACAAAATCTAAGTTCTATTTACACCTTCCTTGAACTCACTACATAATTCTAACTGAGATTGACATGCTTATTTGCAACTAAAAAAATAAACAATCTGGTGTAA